GCGCTGCTCTGCCGCCGGCCCGACACCCTGCGCGGCCTCGCCGGCCTCGCCGGAGCCTTCCCCGACGTGTGAGTGGGGCGCTGGGGGGGGCGCTCTGCGCGGGACCCCCGCGCCGCCGCGGCCTGGGGGCAGCTCGGCGCTCGGGGGCTCCACCGAGACCCGCGATGCTGGAGGGGAGGGATGGAGGCGGCGCGGCGGGAGCTGGAGGGACATTCGGGAACAGGCACAGGGTGGTGGCAGGACCTGGGAACGCTCGGCTTGCGGGGTCCCCTCTATGTGGGTGCACGTCGGGTTTGGGCGAGTGGAGGCCGGGAGGCTGCRGCAGGAGCTGGAGGGGCTTCACGAGCAGTAACACCCAGCGCGGGGAGCACAGGGCGGTGGCGGGACCTGGGGACGGGGTCCAGGGCTGCCCGGCTTGCGGGATCCCCTCTATGCGGGGGCACGTCGGGTTTGAGCGAGCGGAGGCCGGGAGGCTGCAGTGGGTGCTGTGGGGGTTGAGAGGGTCCCCGCACCCCTGGGTGCCCCAGCAGCGGCCACAGCCCAGGCCTTGTCGCAGCGCCTTGCGGCAAAGCCCTCGTGCCTCAGTTTCCCCGCGGGCCAGGGCGCTGCCGGCTCTTTGTTCGCCGTGGGCGGGGTGGGGCGGCCGCGCGCCCCGCGAGACGCTGCCCCCCTCGTCCCCCCCTGTCCCTGCAGTCTCAGGGGGCTGCACAGCCTGGGGCCTCCCGCTGCGGTCGGGGGCCGGAGGGACCAGACCCCTCCTTGGTCACAGCTTCCAATTCCCACCCGGCCCCTGCCGTCCTGGCCCCCATCTGTGCCCCACGGAATGGGAGACACACCCCGGGGTGGCAGTGGGGTTGATCCCTACGTGGGGCTCCTCTGGTGACCAGGATCATTGAGAACCAGAGGACACTGACGACCTTGACCCGGGCTGACACCAGGATGCTCCGGGAGCTCAGGAACCTGTGAGCAGCCCCGAGGCGGGACGCAGACGGACGAGGATGAGGATGGGTGGGGAGCCAGGGGAAGGAAAGGGGACGGATCYCATGGCGGGGAGGTGCAGGGAGGCTCTGCGGGCTGCTCGTGTCCCCCGTGGGGACGGTGGCAGCAGGGCCGGGGCGTTGAGCGCGCGGCTGCTCAGCCGCTCCCCGCTCGCAGCACCATCGCGCACTCGGGGCTGCAGCACATCGCCGCCGACGCCTTCCAGGACACCCCCAGGCTGAGCTACGTGTGAGTAGCCCCCCCGGCAGCCCCAAGCCCCCTCCCGGCCGCGGGGCGCCGACGCCGTCCCCGGGCGCTGTCCCYGGGCGCAGGGCGGGTCGTCCCCGCGATCGATGGTGTCCAGCTGCTCCAGCGGCTGGCATCTCCATCCGCGGCAGCGGGATGGGATGGGGAGCTGCAAGGGGGGGTGCCATGGGGTGGGAAACCATCCATCCGGGCAGCTCCGTGCGGCACCGGCCCCGGGGCCGGAGGGGGCCCCTTCGCGCCGCTGCTCCGCGGCCGGGACGCTCCGGGGCTGGCGGCGCGGCCGGCGCTCAGGGGCTCCGTCCCCGCAGGAACCTCTCGTCCAACGCGCTGCGCAGCCTCTCCTGGAAAACGTTCCAGCACTTGCCGCTGCAGCAGCTGTGAGTGGTGCGGCCAGCGCGAAGGGGCAGCCGCGGCGGTGCCGGCGGCTCCTCGGCAGCCCCGCTCTGCCCTCCGCAGCGTCCTGCTGGGAAACCCTCTGGAATGCTCCTGCGGCATCCGCTGGCTGCAGCTGTGGCAGGAGGGCGGCCGGGCCGAGCTGGGCAACCAGTCGCTGGGCTGCTGGGCGAGCGGGGAGCTGGTGCCGCTGGGTGCCTGGGTGCCGCATGGCTGTGGTAGGTGCAGACGGTGGCAGCCGGGCGCGTCCCGGGGCGCATCCTAAGGTGCATCCCAGGGCGCATCCCGAGGTGCATCCTGGGGCATATCCTGGGACCTCCATGCTCACCCCGCTGTGGCCGCCCGGCAGAACCACCCTCCGTGCGCATTGAGCCCGCCGAGGTGCTGCTGCGCCAGGGGGACAGCGTCAACCTCACGTGCCACATTGCGGCCGAGCCGCCGGCCGTGGGCAGCTGGCACGTGCCCGACGTGGGGCCCGAGGCGCCGCTGGTCACCGAGGCAAGCAGGGCGGGCGGGCACGGGGGGCACCGGCTTGCGGCGGAGGGCCCCACACCAGCCACGCTCCCCGTCCCGCAGCTCTCGCCGCAGCAGCTGCTCCTGCACATCGGCAACGTCTCTGCCAGCCTCAACCGCAGGGATGTCACCTGCCGGGCGGAGAACGCGGCGGGGCCGGCCGAGGCCACCGTGGTGCTCAACGTCACCTGTGAGGCCGCCGCGGGGCGCGGGCGCGCGGCGCGGGGTCCCGGCGGCGCCGCCCGTGACGCGGGGCGGCTCCGTGTCCCGCAGTCCCGGCCGTGATCCTGCTGCTGCAGGAGGCCATCCCGCAGCACTTCTGGTGCATCCCCTTCTCGGTGGACGGCAACCCGGCGCCCAGCGTGCGCTGGCTCTTCAACGGCAGCRCGCTGCCCGAGGGGCCCTACATCCACACGCGCATCGTGGAGGACGAGCCCAACTCCACCGTGCTGCACGGCTGCCTGCAGCTCAACCGGCCCACGCACGTCAACAACGGCAACTACACCCTGGTGGCCAGCAACGCGCTGGGCTCCGCCGCGCGCTCCGTGCAGGGCCGCTTCATGGAGAACCCCTTCAGCTTCAACCCCGAGGAGCCCATTCCCGGTACGGGCCGCTGCGGTGGGGACGGGGACCGGGGCGCCCATTTGGGCGCTCATGGTTGTCGCTATATTTTATCCTCTGCCCTCCYGCTGCTCCAGTGTCGCTGTCGCCGCTGGGTGAGTGACCGCGACGCTGCTCCCGGCCCCTCCGGGACCCCCCCACTGCGGGACCCCCYTCCAATCCCGCGCAATTCCCGCAGCGCCGGGCAGCAGGAACAGCTCCCTGGAGGGCCCCGTGGAGAGCGCCGACGACCACGTCTTYGGGGTGAGCGGCTCCGCTCGGGGCCTCAGTTTCCCCCGCGTGCGGTGGGTGGCACCGTGGGGGTCCCCCCGCTCACGCCGCGGCCCCGCCAGGTCTCGGTGGCCGTGGCGCTGGCCGTGTGCGCTGGCCTCTTCCTCTCCGTCGTGCTCCTGGCGCTCAACAAGTGCGGGCGCCGCTCCAAGTTCGGCATGAACCGTAAGCTCCCAGGGACCGGGCGGCGGGGGGCACCCCGGGGTGCTGCTTCCCGGCGGGCTGCCAATTGGCTCCCGGGYGCGGTTCAGCTTGGGAATGTGGGACACCGGCCCCCCGACACGGCGCTTGTGGCCGCAGGCCCGGCCGCGCTGGCGCGCCAGGACGAGCTTGCCATGTCGCTGCGCCTGGCGAGCCGCGGCGGCAGCCCCGCGCCGTCGGCCGAGAGCAAGCTGGAGGGGCTGCAGGGCAACGTCGTGGAGAACCCGCAGTACTTCTGC